CAAACTGAATAATTTTATTGATCTTGAAAGTTGTGAATTACAACCTAAGTTGAGGCCTTTAAAGAGATTTTTACCTAGATAGTTCTAAATAAATACAATCACTTGTATTTAATTGAAACTCTACCTAAAATCTAGTCTAGACTTAATCTTAATCTTAAAATAATATTTAAATATTCTTAATGATAAAATTAAGTGATAAGATAATATTTAAAATATTAATATTTAAATTGGATAGTGTTCCTTCCTCTTTAGCTGAATGTAGACTTCTTCTTGCTCTGTGATTTCCTGGAGTTGATCTTCCTTTAATTAAATAATTAATTTGAAGAAGTAGACTTAACAAGGAATATAAATAGGAACTTGATTCCATATGGAGATTCGACTGAGGCTGATTTCTTCCTTAGCCAAAACTCTTCTCTTCCTACATCCCTTTCTTCCCTCTAGAAGATTTATTTTTGAACATGAATTCTTGTACTTAATTCATTTAGGATTCACATACATGAAAATAAATCAAAACAAAAAACATGTAAGGGAAATAGATGGAAGTCTTTGCAAGTAGTACTCATTGGGCTAGTGGAAGTCTTCAAGTCCTGAGATGACTCCTTTCTTGCGGATTTATCTTCTCGCAGACATCACTTGCACTAGGACTCTTTTTTATATTGAATTTTGTTGTCTTCTCCTTCTTCTCATCAAACCGCAACTCTTGAGTTCACAAAAGACTCTAACCAAACCTGGAGAAGAGTGGGAATTGGTGAGGAGTCTTCCTCAAGCGTGGGAGTTTCCCGCATGTGCAGGCTCCCCCTCTCGCACATATGTATGCCCACATAAGCAGGCAAGGCCTCCCACATACACAGCTTGCCTTGGCTAAGAGGCTTTGGGCTTGTGTCCTTGTGGACCATTAAGGCTTCTTTACCCATGGGCTCTTTTCTCAGCTCATAGATTGGGCTTCCTGGAGGGTCATTGGATTGGTCTTTTAGAACTATACCTAAATCCACTAAAAGATTGTCCTTTCCTCTTTGGGATGATTTAGGAAATCATCCCTATTGGAATTTAGTTACACGTTATATCTTAAAGTCATGGTGATCTTTGTAAACATCATCTTCCTATATATGTTTCCAAGATAACTTCTTGCATACACTAAGTGTGATGTTAATTATCCTTGTCTTATAGGTAATTATCTAGTGATAATTTCGAATACTGCGGGTCTCCTATCTCTTACGGGATTTATTATTTGGGATTAATTTGGTCATTCTCGGGTGATATGAGCAGCATAATGCTCTAATACTAAATGACACAGGTGGGGAACATGGATGAATAGTTTTGACTCCCGAAACCTCACTCAACGTGACACCAGAAAGGTTAACCACCTAATTTACCCTCCCTACTTGAACGACACCAAACAATATGAATGCAAATTCAAGATAATTGGGAAATCAAAAGAATAAGGAAGGATGCTACGGCTTACTCGATAAATCGATCATGATTCCTTAGCTCATTCCTTAGCTTAACAAGTATTCTAAAGCCCCCTATCTTAAAAAAAAAAAAACTTGAAGAACACTCTCAAAATTTAGCGGCTAATTTTAAGAAAAACAAGTAAAAACTTGAAACTTTATTAACTGAAAATTTGATAGTTATGATTACAAAGCTAAAGCTAAAGCCTTTATATAGACTTCACTTGTCTAATATAATACAAATAGAAG